GATCACCATTAATACAGATACATCCTATGTAGATGAATTTAAATGAATATACAGATTCAACAGACATTTCCACTTATTTTGCATTCCAGTAATTTCATGAATCACTGCACTTGTTCTTTTGTTATGTCATCTGGTAACTGTTTGCATCTGGTCACCCTATCAAAGAAACAGAAATGGACATAAAATTTGACTGTAGTAATGCAAAATGAATGGCACTTAAGCGTGCCAAGAGATTTAATAAACAATTTAAACATAATAAAATTAATTATATCAAGTTTGTCAGTATATATTTTCACATATAATAGAGATTTAAAGACTGGCAACATGCTCTTTAGAACATGGTAATAGACCTTCAGGTTCCATGAAAGGTAGGGGAATTTCTTGACAAGTTGAGCTTATGATTAGCTTCTCAAGGACTGTGCTCCATTAATTGAATAAAAAAATTCCATACTATACACAACATACAGCAAGAATTCTGAATTAATACATGCTTCTACTGATCATCAATGAGCAGAATGTCATCTCCAAAGCTAATGATTAAGTCCAAAACCTCCTCCTTATCAATCATTAATAATTAATTTATAATTTCTTCAATCCTATTCAACACATTTTCTCATCAGGAATTGGTAAATGAAACTTCAATATAAATTCCACAGACTATAAGATTAACTTTTCATTCTTTCTATGGTTTTGATGTGTGTGCTGCTGGTGTTAGAAACTTAATTTCATAATGGGCAGAGAATGTGACAGCACATTACAATGGGCAGGAGGTGTCAGATTTAATCAACAACCTGTGTAGTTTCAACTTAATCACGACCTACTCTCATGCATGTTCTTGTTAGAAGAAACAGAGAGATATGCGACATCAACCAACAGAAGATTCTCACCGGTTTTAATAAGTGGCGGCTACGGTCAATGACCAACTGACAGAACTGTGGGTCATGTGACCCAGGAAAGTTGAGGCCTTTCATCTGATGTGAGCAAATGACAAAGAAGAGAGACACAAAATATCACAACAATCTGCTACTGGAAGCCAGTGAAATCTCCTTATAATGTTCCACAAACAAGTATGAAATTAACTTCTTTCACACATTACAGCATTCAGTTGAAAATTCAAGTCATTTATATCATAGTAATGTTACCTACATTTTCTTTCAGCAATAATACAATGTCACACACTACTGTTTACTGACATCTATAATCATTAAAAAAAAGTCTTCTGCAGTTGTTTTATTTCTTTGTATTCAGTTGCTTACATTTAAATATTCCAAATCACCAAACATGAACAGCAGATACTTCACCATAACCAAAAACTATTATTTAGTTACTTGTACAGTTGCAAGAAATGTTAAAACTAACAAGCAACAGTGTATCTATCCATGGAACATAAGTGTTAAAAGTTGTCCTAGTGACTAAGAACCACAGCAATAAGATGTGTAGGGGAGTGGTGGTAAAAGCTCCACACATTCTTTACCTAAGAACTAGATGGAGCCATAACAAGAACATAACTCTGATCCCAATAATAATATGAAACATGCCCGATATTAACTATGCAGCAAGGTTTCAGAACGCTTTGAATATATTTATCTTCAAATAAAAAGAATTATTTAATATACCTTCTCAGTATAAATACAACTAATATAGAATCATGACTTTTGGCAAACAGAATGGCTATAATGACTGAGATTTATTGCAGTTTTTCTCAGTCTGTCGAGGCAAATACTGGAATAGTACCTTAATTAAACCATATCTTCCTTCTATATCCCTTACAATTCATTATTCAAATCATTCTATCATTCCACAGTATATAGTTTGAGCTTTCCCTCTTTTAGGGTTCGATTTCACTGAGTTCACTCAACTGCGTAATTCTCCTGATATTTTAGTTTCCTTAGTTTATAGTTCAAATTAGAGATCCCTGAAATAATTACTGATGACAGAAACTGATGGAAACATAAATGCATATATGTCCTTCACTTCAATTTTGAATGCATTGAAAAAGAAACAAAAGATTAAACTAAAATTGGAAAGGTGTACCCTTTGTAGTACACTAAAATTCCAGAGGCATTATTTATGCCACATCACAGGCAACGACACTGCAGGGCAACGAATGACACAAGAAATACAACAAAGATATCAAAGGTGACAATGGTGACCAAAGTCACTGTTGTAACAGTGTGTTGGAAGACGCAACAGACAGACATGGATGGGCCCTTATAGTTTTCTTCACTATACTAAATTGGGGAAAAGAAAGAAAGAAAAAAACACCAATGAGAGAGGTAAAAATCTGTTTGGTCACTATACATAAAAAACATTACAGCCTGCTGATCATATAAACAAAAATTTAATCTAACTATATTTATTTGCTGTTATCGTTATAAAGTTATGTACCGTGATGGAAATAAAAAACTTTAACTTTGGAACTATGTCTTTTCAACATTCATAATGAACATAGTATTTTACCAGATTCCTCATTTGGGCATTATAATCAGGTGCCACTGACAGTGCAATAAATTATGAAAGTACGTATACCAAACAAACTGTATTTATCCAAACCATCGCCTTCCAGTGTCTTAAACATTTATATAAAGTCAAAATTAATATGGTATGCACTATTATAATAAATATTAAATACTTTTAATTAAAAACATTAAGTTACATTTAACAATAATCAGAAGATCAAAAGAAACATCTACTGCTACTGTCTGACTGATTACCCTAACAGAAAGTGTCTCACAAGAGTGGTTATATCTGCACTATATCTATTACACAAACACTGCAGAGTCCCATGGGTGATAGGATAATAGGGCTACACTTGCCCTCTCTGCCTAGTGTTGTACTCACCGCCAACTCAAAATGCTTGGCACTAGTGGAGGTTAACACTGCCAGCATTTGTGCAAACAGAATAGCTAGATGATTGGAAAAGAATATAGGATAGTGGGAAGGGAAAGAAAAGTTTGTAGAAGATGTGGAGGAGTTTGATTTACTTATCCAAAGTACAGCCTGAGTACAGAGATATTTACTGAGACTAAAATACTTTCAGAATTCTTAAAATTATCTTTCAGTGAAGTGAATAAGCTAATGGATGTATTATTATTATAAACCAAAGAAAACAAAATATGGCAAACACCTGAATGTTTTAAGTGAAGTAAATATAATGGATACCATAAAGATTACTTTTCACCTGTAATAAGGATTTATAATAAGATACGGCATATCTGCTACCATAATATCAAATACATCAAATAAGAAGCACACAAAACAAGAAATGGAAAATTAATACTTGAAAGACAACTCAATTGGTTTTCCATTCTGGTTTAAATTTGGAAAACTAGAAATATATGTAATTTCATAATGCACATTAGAAAATTTTGTATTGGAAATGGAGAGAATAATTACAGACATGAAACTTAACACTTTATCAAACTCAAGTTTAATTTTTCTGTAATTTTGAGAGTACTATAAATTTGCAAATAAAAAGTAAAATGTCTGATATACAATAAGCATCATAATGCAACATATATTTATCAAAATATGGATCAGAAAGGCTGTAGTCCTGTACACACAACCAGACATCTACAGTTTGCAAGGCAATAAATAATCTCTTGCCACTATGCAACAGTAACAATGCAGTGTGAGAATGTTAATAGGAAGCAGCATGTGACAGTAACATAACAAATATGAAATGAAAATTTATGACTTTCCCATATTAATTGGAACACATATATCAAATTAAAAGCGGAATGGTACATACCTATTGTATGCACTTTCCTTTGGCTTTCAGTTTCTTGTCTCAAATTAAATTTAAAGAAAATGTTACAATACTGTAAGTGGAAAGGTTAACATATGGCAGCAACACTCGAAGAAGCCATTGGTCTTAAAGAACATGGTGGTACTGGCGAAACATGGTCTCTCACTCAGAGGGAGGAACACAGATTGCAGGTGTTTGAGAATCGGGTGTTGAGGAGGATATTTGGGCCTAAGAGGGAAGACGATGGGGCGTGGAGAAAACTGCACAATGACGAGCTTAAAAATCTGTACTGCTCCCCCAGTATTGTGAGGGTGATTAAGTCAAGAAGAATGAGATGGGCGGGACATGTAGCGCGCATGGATGGGACAAGAGGTGTGCACTGGGTACTGGTTGGGAAACCTGAAGGGAAGAGACCGCTGGGGAGACCTAGACGTAGATGGGAGGATAATCTCAGGCGGGATCTATGGGAGATAGGAGTTGAAGGAAACTGGATTTTGTTGGCCCGGGACAGGGTCCGGTGGAGGGCTTTGGTTAATTCGGTGATGAACCTTCGGGTTCGGTAAGCCATCTAGTTAGTTAGTTAGTTAGGTGGTACTGGCAAACAAGTCTTACAAATATTTATTAAAAATTTAAAAATGCGAATAAATCGCTGGGAATATTACTAATATTTTTAAGCTTTATTTATACAAGAAACCCAACTGTCAAATTCATGCAAATGGACAAATATGTTTGTGTGAGCCAAGCAAAAGGGATTACAAACATGAACACATTAATCAATCAGTTTAACTAGCACTTTCACATCAAATTAAATGTCTACTGTGAAGCTGATTTAGTTATCCAAAACATGCAAAGCAAGATTATCTCATGAAAAGTTTTTTAAAGGACTAAATGTTTCAAAGAAACACACTTCTGAAAAACAAATTAAATTTTCCTAATACATAAAATATCACTTCACCCCCCCCTCCCATAACATTAGCATATTATTAACTTCAGGTGTCTAATAACTAAAATGAAACAATTTTTATTGCATGTAAAATATTAATTTTGAAGCCCAAGAATTCTTCATTAATACAAGTAGGCAAGTTTATTAAATAGTATATAAACTAAAATGAGGAAACCAAACAACATACCACTGATGCTCCTCTGCCTGTCTGACCACCCAGTCCAGGCTGAGGACTGGATGGGTTGCTTGCATAGTTTTGTACAGCAGAGGAAGACTGAGCCAGCATGGGTCGGTCAGCTGCTGTCTGAATTACCAGGAAACTAGAGGCTGGTAGTGTCTCAGGTTCCCTACATATCACACACAGTTCAATATGAGATTTTACTAGTATGAAGTATTTATACAGTTTGGAGATGTTAAACCTCCAGGCTTTGCAGAATATAACACAGAAAACTGTGAAGATGGCTGCCTTCCTGCCTGATGATAGAGGCAATAAGTTCCTCTGCAACATCAGTCAGTAACTACCAGACTAAAAGGAGCAACATCTCAGAAGACCGCCAACCTCAGACTCATCACCACAGAAACCTGAAGTCTTAGTAAGGAAAACTGCCCACCTTCTTTGCAGTTAACCCACATCCTGTTGCCTTGTAGCTTTATAAGTCATCATTTGCTTTGGTACTCTGTTGTCATACACTCTTAAAAGATGTTCATATCAATCATTTTTAGAAGCTCCCACTTTTCCAATTAAGATGAAATGCTTAATTTCACCTGTATATGTTTACTGCTCACCTGATCCCTAAGGACATGCCCTGCTGCTGGATTTAAAAATCTCATTTCAGAAGATTAAATTTTCCATTTGTCAAATCTGTTAATGGCCTAATTCTTACTACTATATGTACTGGGGATACTGGGAACGACCCATTCTTCAAGTGCCTGAGCAGTGCGGGTCCTCTACCTGTACACAGGACAGCACAACACAGAAAAACGTGGACAAACATCCACGGCTTGAGTGGGATTCGAACCCACAGTCCCAGGTACCAAGCGGAACAAGGGTCACGCCTCAAACCACGTGGCCACTGCGGACCCCCACTACTACAGTGAAACCTCTATCCATCGTTCCCGCAACTATCATCTTCCCGGATGCATCGTCCGTTTTGTTCGGTCCCGGATACATCCCATATAAAATAATGTTACATTTTCCCGTTTCTATCGTTCCTCGAACTATCGTTTTATCGCATCGATCGTTCAAAAATCCTAGTCCCGGTCCACAATTTTCCCGCAATGATCGTTTCTGAGAAATTATAACGAAATTTACGTGATGTTTTTAGAATTCAAAATGCTGGGTTTTGAGATAAATTAATACCGAAAGATGCACAATGTTTTTTGAATACACAGTAGTGGTAACCTGTTATGTCGCCCAACCAGCACAGATTCTTTTGGAATGAGGGGTGAGCGGTGCAGGGGTGATAGTTGGAGTGAATGGCGGTGCTCATTGTTAGAAATTTTACGAGTTTAATTAGGGTGCACTCATATTTCGTTCCAGCGATGCCAGATGGCATGTGCAGTGTGAATTTCTTCACAAATGCTTTTATTATAAGTACAAAGGAAAGGCGGGCGACACTTTTCATTCTTCTGGTTCATCTCGTTTCCAGTGGTTCAGTGGTACAGCTACGTTTCGTTGAGTTCGGCAGTAATAGTATTTCCATTCTTCCTGTTATTGTCCGCGAAAGGGGTGGGAGCGGTGAGGAAGAGGGAGATGACGAATGCAAGCCCGAAGCTGTGCCGAGTTTTGCCAAAGCATTGGCAAAAGTGAAGTCGTTCTTTTATGCGCATAATATTAGTGAATGTGCCGAGGAAGACATTTTGAACATGGAAAGGGCTCTGTTTGGCCTAAAACGTAAAGTTTCGACAAACTAGTTGTCCATTAAAGACTTTTTTGGTAAAAAGAAGTAACTTTGAAAGAGAAACATTGTTTTTTTTAAATTTTTAATGCTTTCCAGCAACTATCGTTTTCCCGCATTCATCGTTTTTATTTCCCACCCCTGCCGAAAACGATGCATCGAGGTTTCACTGTATATGTGAGGATAGAAACTGCCATAACCTTTTAAAATGCCATATGCTCAAACAAAAATAATTCTCAGTATCGACAGCAATATTCTACAATAAATACACATTATATCAAGGAACTGAAGAGAGAAGCTAACCGTGTAAGATTTACGATGTCAAATTCACACTCATCCTCCAGCCATGATGGATGCTCCAACAATAATGAAATGTCCATCTCCTGCACTTCTCGTGGTGTAGCTAGAGCCAATAGTCCTGCATTCACCTGAAAATCAACATGAAATTAATTTATTTCTAATATTATGATTATAATTAGTGACTGATTCTACACTTTTGCACCTGAAGCATCTGCTACATGTATTACGGGCATAAAGAAGAATTGAAGGGATGAAGTGTAAATTGGAAAAGACTGGGAAGAAATCAGTCAAGTCATATTTTAGGATACTAGCCCACATGCACCGGAAATCATTGAGATATGTTTGAAAACCAAAGACAGCCTTTATATTTAATGTAAAGTTTAAAGAAGAGTATTAAAAATATATTAAAATTGGCCGTCAATCACAATATAAGATAATTAAAAGATTAAAATATCATTTTTCGTTCCGTATCAAGTACTCGATTTACATATGGAACATTTACGACATGTTTCGGCTATCATAGAGCCGTCATCAGGTGTTATGTTATAAACTTTTTAACTGAATTACTAATTTTTAATGATTTTTAGTTTTCATTTTTCTTATCATTTTCTCGTCCTTCATATTGTATCTTCATCCGTTGTTGTGTCACATGTCACTAATATAATTGTATGTCGTAGTGATGCCAATGTTGTGTATATTGGACCGAGAAGTAATATCGTAGCAGTATTAGGAGAGATTGGAGGTATACTGTATCGGATCGTGGCTGGTTACCGACAGTTAAAACCATTAACCTCTTATATAAGCTGAATATTATGAAATTTATTAGAAGAGACAGATGAATTTATTTAATGATTTAATTAAGTCAGAATTATTCACAGAATCAACAAACATCAAATTAAGTACACTTAGGCCAACTAACTTTCATGGGGAATTTTAAGGTATCACTCAATCAGTCCACATAACCACAACTCAACTCACTTCCTTATTCAAAGCACAAACTAACATTGTCTTCCCAGCATGTCTACAACATATGGCATCATATCAAGTAGCCCAAAAGGAAATAGCACACTTATGAGTGCACGTACGAAGGACATATTTTTTTGCTACATGTCAGGGAAAGTTGCTAATTTCCTTAAGATTGCTGTCTTCTGGGTTATTGTGCCACGTAGTCTGGTAAATTTCCACTAATGTTTCAGAGGTCATACTGCCTCCGTCATCAGGGCGATGAATGGTTAATTGTTAATTTCCTAGTTACCACAAAAGTATGAGTCTAGTTAGTATTTATTGTGAAGGTATTTTTCCATGCATACAGTAATAAATGCAACAGGAATCCAAGTTTTAAAGAAGATGAACATCTGTTCAGATGGGGAAGAAAAAAATCCCTGTCCTCCCCAGGAATGAGACTCCAGCAATCCAGCCCATAGTCAATCATTTTAATTAATGAGCTAATCCGGTTCAAGGAATATGGGAAGTACTGGGATACTGGGAATGACCCATTCTTCAAGTGCCTGAGCACGTTTTGTTGGTTTAATCTACAGACATTCGGTAGGACTCCTTGGACGAGGGATCGGCCCGTCGCAAGGCTTATACCTGTACATGGGACAGCACAACACAGAAAAACGTGGACAAATATCCATGGCTTGAGTGGGATTCAAACCCACGGTCGCAGTGACCAAGCGGCACAACGCCCACGCCTCAGACTGTGCGGCCACTGCAGACCCCATGGGAAGTACTAGGAATAAAATATTTTCCCACTAACTTGTCATCTTTTAAAACAAAATCACATTACACATAAATAAATCTGTCACCTGGTTGAGGCAGAATGCAGAAATGGAATCTTGTTCCTTGTGGATGATCCTAACAGGTTCAGGCAATGAGGTTCCAGAGTCTGACCCTTTGTCTTCAGTCATTTTCATACCACCATCTGTTGCAGAAGGTGTATCCATTGTAGCCATAACAGACCTCCGCTTCCCAAAAACTGATCTGATAAAGATGTCCTGCACCTGCTCTTGCCTCACAAGAAAGCTCCATAACCGACGAACCGGAGCTGCTGATGCATGTCTTGGACTGGACAACAAATTTAGGACTCAATTCACATAAATACTATACTAGTCTTTAATGCCATGCAAGGAAATACTTTCCCCACATGTGACATGCAAATATCATGTTAAAGGTTACAGAAAGCTGGAAGGAAATAATTTATCACTAAATATTCAAGGGAGTCTAACACTTCTGCAGTGCCTAACTACTTGCACTGTCACCTTAAATTATTATCATATGCAACTGTTCTTTAAGTACAGAAAATAAAAGAAAGAAAGCAAAAACTGATTTGAACAAACCATATTCCATGGCAAATTACTTCTTTGTGGTCACAATGCTAATTACAATGAAAGTAAGTACTTCATCATCAAATCATTCAATTCAAAGTCAGTGTCAGTCACGCTACACTGTTCCTAGAGAAAATTCCTCTAAATTTCCATGGATGCCCCTTAACGATTTTGATGTTTCTATTCGAACTGCTAGTAATGAAACCTACTGCACTAATGCCTGATAGCAAACTTATGTACTCGGAAGGACTCAAAATTCAAGTTCTAAAGCTTGTTATGAACGCAATGAATTTATCACCTATGTACCGATTCCCATCTGCAAGTGGCAAGTGGGGAATATGTTTTGTGAATGGCTTGTGGAATGGAATTTCTGGAGAAGTTATAGATCAGTTGTCAGAAGTTGCTGTTTGTGCTTGACGTCAGATCAAGAAGTGCTAATGCCACAGTACCTCACATGGGATTTGAAATGAGTTGGCACATGTCTTGTGCCACCATGGGTGAGTCTCACCAGGGTTTTCACCCCTTCCCTTTAGATGGTCTTTTATCATTTACATAATTTCCTTCATGATTTTATGGATGGCCTTACACATACCAGAAGCTGCACAGCATGAACATTATATGAATATTGAAATGTGTTTTCTCAACCTGTGGGGCTCAATCCTTGGCATATTAGCGTCAAACCCTGCCCCAAACTTAAGTGTGTTCAGATTCATATTCATGCTATGAGTGTGGTACAGCCTGGCTGTAAACACTGTGTACCAAACGTTTCTGACCAGTTATCTTGTCGATCCAGGTTTACAAGATCAACTGAATACTGAAGATAAACTTGTCAAATCCGATTTGAAGCTAGGCTTTCATTACTTCATGGCTATGTGCTTCAAGGAAATGTCCATGGATTGGCATCTGTGATGATATGGACCAGTGTGTTGAACAACTGGGTGTTGAAGGTGATTATCACTTTTGATTTCAAAGTTTGTAGGAGATTACAAAGCTTCGTTCACAATTGTCAGGTAAACATCGCCCATAAAATCAGAGAACTAGGGGTAAGTACAGTAATCGGGACAAACCTGAACATTCTACGTCAGCATTAACTCCATAATCATAGTCTGCATATGCTTAATAGCAACTGCATACAATGTAAAATTACCAAACAGACACTCTATACAGACATTATAGTTTAAAATTTCAATAAAATAAATAATAATGAAACTCACTGAAAGGGGGTGTTGCACTTCTCCAGAAGGGAGCGATACTTGTGTATGGCTGGCCCTGCAGCAGTTGTCTCCACAAAGCAGCCAGGAATGTAGTCGGCAGGGGGAGGCCTACGTAAATCCAACTCGTCTTTCAGCATGTCCTGCCATTGGGTTACAACACGCAGAGTGCTGTGAATCAGCGGGCTGCATACAGGTAACTCTGTTGTGACAGTAAATGTCAACTACTTATTACTATGTAGGGACTGTACAGTAAATATTAATAGACCCTCCTCAATAAACAACTGTAATAGAATGGTTCTCAATAAATGTATATAAACCTAATTATTGACATCAATCAGTTTATCCAAACAACTTAAAATCTGAAAGTTTGATAAGCAGATCCTCATGACTTGTTCTATTACAGAACACAGATGTTCATTACTGCAAACAGCAGACAAACAATATCGATAACAATAACAATACAGAGTAACAGCAAAAAAGAACAATAAATAAGACTATGGAGTAGGAAAAGCAGTAGAAGAATTGCAATAAACTGCTCACCCTGTATCTCAATGCCTGCCACATTGAGAAAATCTTGCAGCTGGTGCTGCACCAGTTTCATAATGGCAAGCCTCATTACGCACCATGAGTAGCTGCTAGGGTTTGAGTGTTCTGTGTTCTCCTTGTCTGGACCTTTAGGATTTGTGGTTGTTCCATCAAACACATCTTCTTCCTCCTCTTCATCATCCAAATCACTGACAGCTGAGTCAGCAGAATCATAGTCCACATATTCTGCTTCTGTTGGTAACTGTGGCTGCAAATGGCAGAAGTTTACACAGTTATGCACAAATTCAGAGTTAATACTTACTTTTCCAAATTCTAAAATATGTATGAATCTTTCTTTTAATGATGCTCTAAAGCCAGAATCAACTCTGTTTCTTAAAATTAAATTTTCTAAAACAAAGTAAGCAAAGGATAGTGATGACAATGATGATGCCAAAAAAATGTCATAAATAGGAAAATAATAAACATAATTACAGTGAAACCTCTATCCATCGTTCCCGGAACTATCGTTTTCCCGGATGCATCGTCCGTTTTGTTCGGTCCCGAATACATCCCATATAAAATAATGTTACATTTTCCCGCTTCTATCGTTCCTCGAACTATCGTTTTATCGCATCGATCGTTCAAAAATCGTAGTCCCGGCCCACAATTTTCCCGCAATGATCGTTCCTGAGAATTTAAAATGCTGGGTTTAGAGATAAATTAATACCGAAAGACGCACAATGTTTTTGGAATAAACAGTAGCGGTAACCTGTTATGTCGCCCAACCAGCACATTCTTTTGGAATGAGGGTCAGCGGTGCAGGGGTGATAGTTGGAGTGAATGGCGGTGCCCATTGTCAGAAATTTTACGATTTTAATTAGGGTGCACTCATATTTCGTTCCAGCGATGCCAGATGGCATGTGCAGTGTGAATTTCTTCACAAATGCTTTTATTACAAGTACAAAGGAAAGGCGAAAGTGCTGCTGTGGATGTGGAAATAACGGAGCTGTGGCTCGAGAGACTGCCAACACTGCTGGAGGGATATGAGCCGCGGGACATTTATAATGCGGATGAGACCGGACTTTTCTACAACGCCCTCCCGGATAGGACTCTGGCATTGAAAGGTGAATCTTGCCACGGGGGAATACGTGCAAAACACCGAATTACTGTTCTTCTGTGTGTTAACAGTGACGGTAGTGACAAACGGGTTCCGATTGTAGTTGGAAAATCACGAAAACCGCGTTGTTTCAAAAACATGAAAAAACTTCCGGTGAAATATCACGCCAACAAAAAGGCTTGGATGACAACAGACATCTTTACGGCGTTTTTAAGTAAATACAGACATATACTATTCAATCATATGAACAGCATTAACAATGCTATTAATAATTATAAGAATAATGCTATTAAAAATAAAAATACACTCCACCAATGTTCTCTGAAGTCACTTGAATTCCTGCTCATGCAACCTTAACATAGTTGCACAGACTGTGTGACAAATCTCAAGAGTCACGATCCACTCAATTTTTAATCCAGCATAATACACACCTACTTAACTGTGACTTCTGTTGTTTCTGCAGTAACTCACTAATTGCACCTGTTAGTAGAACTTGCATAGATTACTCATATAATGTGTAAATTACCTTCACAGAACACATTTTAGCCAGATGTTGAAAAAAAAGTGACTTGTGTTCTTTCATCAGTCACTCACTCCCTTCAAATAAAACAATAGTTCACAAACATTCGTTTTCCTTGACTTCATGGAAAACTGTACCAGAATGTGAAATAATCTGCATTTGTGCATAAATGACTATTTTAATAACGATTTTTTCATGCACAAGCATATAAATGACTGAGCACACAGATTATATGTAAAGATGTTGAAGTAACACATAAACCTTTTTGTAAAATATTATAGCTTCTCATTCTGTTCACCGCTGTGCCTTGATCATGTATTAAAATTTTCCAGCAGTATTCTTTACTTAAATTCTAAATTATAAAATTTAATTGTAGTAAAATCTCTCAAATTTGTTAAACTTACCTTAAGGAGAAAGTATGAAACCATAGACATTTCAGGTGAGACAAACTGTTCCCTATATGTAGGTTTATCTTCCTTCATAAGAGGTGTCCCTGGCTGGCTAGTGAATTGCCCAAGAAGTTTCATATTCAGACGTACTCGTTGTTTTGTAAGACTAGTCATGGTGGTCCAAACCCCTCCTTCACTACTGCCACTTGGCTCCCTTTCCAAGCTTCCTTGTGACTATTCATCAGTTAAAAAAAGCACAACTACTTTCACATTATTTTCAAACATAAAAGAAAGTCCTAACGTGACATTGTAACATGACACTGATCACACAAGCACAAATTTGAAACTTTTACAGACCTAGGTCCTTGACATATGCAGAGAAATATGATACATAAATTACAAGAGTTAAAACAAAGATCAAGTAACACAAATAAATCAACAGAAGTATGTTATATGTAACATCACTAAAAAGTTAAAATCTTGGTTTAAAATGCAATGGTAGAAAGCTGTAGAAAACTGCATAATGAGGAACATCACAATTTGTTTTCAAGAATATAAGGTATTCATAATTTGTACTCTTCTAACTAGATGGCTTACTAAACCCGAAGGTTCATTACCAAATTAACCAAAGCCCTCCAGCGGACCCTGTCCTGGGCCAACGAAATCCAGTCTCCTTCGACTCCTATCTCCCATAGATCCCACCTGAGATTATCCTCCCATCTACGTCTAGGTCTCCCCAGCGGTCTCTTCCCCTTAGGTTTCCCAACCAGTACCCGGTGCACACCTCTTGTCCCATCCATGCAAGCTACATGCCCAGCCCATCTCATTCTTCTCGACTTAATCACCCTGAGGAGTACAGACTTTTTTTGTACTCTTCACCAAAAATTATTAGGATAATCAAATCAATCAATGAAGACATGATTGGCAAGACATGTAGTATGCATTGAGACACGAGGATGTGCGAAACATTTTTGTTGCAAACCCTGAATGAGAAACACCAATCAGAAGACCTAATCTTGGATGGGAGGACAATATTTTAACAGAGTAGGAGGTTGTAGACTGGATTAACTAACCATAGGATAGTGATTTGTGGGACTTTTTCAAACATGGTAATAAATGTTCACATTCCACAAAAAGCAGGACATTTCTTGAGCAGCTGAGTGACTCTCAGCTTCCCAAGAAGGACTCTTGCTCCAGTGTAGTTTAATTAGTTGAACGATGTACCTAATAATGACATCAATACCTTCTGTGCATGTCGGTTACTTTGTTCCTCGAAGGTCTGAATTCCTTTGTTCCTTAAACGTTTGAATTCCCTTGCAAAATATTCAATCTACGGTTTTCTCTGAAGCACATATAAGAGACAGAACTCACCTGTGTGGTAGAATTACTACTTGTAGCAACTTTGAGAAGTTTCTTGACTCCACCACCAAACAGCACTGCCCAAGTCTGATTAGTGAACTTCTGTCCTGCAAGTCGGTACAGGATGAGGGAATCGCACGTTGCAAGGGCATATACAATGAGGCTCATGTATGATGCAACAAATGCCTCACACAGCAGCACACTGAGACGTGGCGTGTCCTCATCCTTTTCTCGTGCTAATAAGGCTCTGAGGTTTGTTACTCCTAAAACATTGCAGATAAGCCAAGATAGACAAAAGATAAATGGGAAAAGAACTCCATAAAATAAATAATTAAAAAGAATGTGCACACAGCAGAACAACAATACATTCTATATAATAAAGATAAAATGCAGTGTTCTTTCTTTACTCCTTTAATAAACACATTAAATATGGAGGGTATTTAAAAGTCCTGCTACCATTTGCCACAGAGTTATAAAGCAGCAGACATATTTCAAAGTCACAATAAAAATATTTCATTATATAAAATTTTTAAATACAAATATGGCATTTTTATACATGGATTGTGATGTTAATATGTTAGCTATGTTTATAAATTCAAGCAAGCTCACTTTCAGTTTCCATGGAATTTAGTGCTATAAATCTCGATAATTCTATCGCAAATCCATTGCCCTTATCAAAATATACGTTACAAATTAAAAGACACAAAAAAATTACTTAAACAAAGAGTTACCGTTCTGTACTACAACTCAACTCAACACATTACTGTCTTTATGTGTAAACTCAAAACAATCTCTACAACATAATTATAAGTTGCACTTCTGACAGTACACAGAACTGAGTGGTATTATCAAAATGTACTGAATTTTCATCACGAAGCTAATATTTTTCATAGATCACAGCAAATAATAATGGCTTTAAGTTCTGAAAAATATTCATCTAATATCAGTGAAAACAGCAGATGTCCTGACATAATACCTGAATGCCATGTCTACCTGCTACCTCAAATTTAATGAGCCCTGCCTAATGCTTTGTGCTGTGTACATGTCTTTCTTCCTTCAACCGGAACTTGAAGAACCTTGCTTTTGCCTAGAAAACCCCACAATCCTTGCAGTTCCAGGGAAAATGTGTAACACCAAGAATATAAATCATAGTACTGAACTATTTCTCTCTCCAGAACTTCATATGCTTATTCTTTCTGAATAGTAAACAATGCATTGTATATAAGAAAAACTTGTCAGAATTCCAGAAACCATACAATGGTCTGAGCAATTGGCTAGGATGGATAAGACAAGAAATATTTGTGGGAAACCTCTTGTAAAATGTCCATCTTTATACAGAGTAGGAAATGGATCACAGGGAGAATAATTATAATGATGGGAGGTGTATATTACTACATCAGGATCATGTTCAGTAGGGACTTTTGTATAAGAGATATTCAACATTCAGGTCTCATTGCCACTGTGTCAGATACTCAACTTACCAGGCCATTTGCAAGGATGAGTGGTAACCTGTAGTGGTTCATCACTACTATACCGGCGCCGCCGTGTATGACCTGCTATCAAGTGACTGCTTGGACAGACAACATTCAGGTGTGCTAGGGACTCCAGACCATAACTCTGGAAGCTACAACACAATACAGAACAAGGCACAAATTCACAGCACATATGTACACCTTAAACAATTGTGTCCTTTCAGACATCATTCCAGTAAATATCCCACAAGACACTAAAAGTATACTGCGACTCTAGCAAGCAGAGGAAAATATAAAAAAAGCAGATAGTGTAAGGATAATCACTTATGACTTCAAAATTGACTACATTTGCTACCACAAATTATTACCAAAATGGTGATTACATGTGGGATATGAAAGAGAGTGCAAGTAAAGTGTAGGGAGTGTGATGTGGGGCTCTGTACTGTTAAGCATCTTGAAGTGCACCACAAAGAAAGATAAACAGTGATGTATTAAAAAGTGCTGAGAGGCTTCAAAACCACTGAACATCTTACCAAACAGGTATGTAAAATAAAATTTTATATATTCTGTAAAGTGTTCCACTGATCAAAATGCACACAAATCCCAACATTAATAGGACAGGCATCACAATTTAAAAGCCCATCATACGGGTCTCTCATAATTAAATTTTATATGACTGAATCAGGAAAGTCTGTGGCCCACAAAATTTAACACATTCACTGACAAATGCTGAATGACATTTTAATTATCTCATACTGTCAGTGACAAACTTGTCCAACATTCCAGCGCTGACGTACATGCAGTTGCTGATTACCTACAGATGTCAATCCATTACGACCACACTTTCACAGATGATAAGGGAAGCTTTGATGTTTCAATTCATGTGTTTAAAGCAATTTCTCTCACAGAAAGAATTCCTGTTAAAGGAACAAAAAATTGTTGTTGCCCCACGTGACTGATGTGAAGCATGGAAAAGCAAAATGTTTATATGAAAGTGAAATATCAGAAGTTACACATAAGGTTTCTGCACACAATTCAAGTGATGAATTAGTGGTGTATGTGTTTATGTAAGTAATAGTAAATCAGAGGATGGAAGTGTATTGTAGGATGCTACATGTAACAATGCACAGGACAAAAGCAAGCCAATATGATGCCAGCAGATAGCTACAAAACATATTTCAAAAATTGACTCAGACGATTGGACTGATACAGATCAGCAGGGAAGTTTACCAAAATTTCATGTAATTACTTCTACAACAGTTTTTAAGGTATTTAAGTTTATTTAAACTTATGTGAAAACAAAGCCCCATGCTGAAAAATGGCTCACATGGGGCATTTAAATTCACACCGGAAAGCATGACGGCGAATGTGTGTTAATGTATACATGTAAGTAATGTAGAAGACTTGTCAACTCTGCCTAATTTATGTTGAAGGCCATTTTCTGGGTTGTAGTGCCTCCATCATTAGGGTGATGAGTCTCAACGCCCTGATGATGGAGGCAGCAAGGACCTCTAAAACATCAGTAAAATTTCTACCAGACTACATGACACTACAACCCAGAAGACAAATATCTTCATACTCACTTCTGTGAGAAATCAAATTCACCTAATTTATGTTGGTTCTGACTCTGATTTAGAGCTTAAATGAAGACAGACATAAAATCCTTACTTGTCAGTCTGTTGTTTCACACTGAAAGTGTCAGAGTCACAGAGGGACTGGTAGATGCACGCTGACATAGCTACTGCAAGATCACGCAGAACCACCACTTCACTAAAGTGTGTCCGTGAAGGCATTGGAGGAGACCGTAATTCCACTATAGTCTGAAGCAAATCTTGTGCTTGTGCCTGTAAAAAATCATTAATGCACATAATTAATTATGTTATTATCCATTATAAAAAGTTATGTTACATGGAAATGAAAGAAGACCTTGCTTACACCATAACCATTTAAGCCAAAATTCTGTAAATGTTTGTGAAAACGGGCAATTAAATATAACAATATATTGGATGCTGCCAAATGTTCGGGCTGATAGCATAGATCATGTTCAGGTCTCGGCCAGGTTTGGGCCTGGTTCAAATGAAGCAATAAGATTTTATACAGAATATTTAGGGCTTTGTCAGGCATTCGTTTTTCACAAACAAAAGCTGTTCATTGTTGCACTCATTTTATACTTGTGAAACAGTCAGGTTACAGAAACAAATCACAATGACATGACGTTTTGGGGGAATTTTCACAGCTGCCTTTTCCCAAAAATTGTTTAAAGTAACGCCTTAAAAACTTGGCATCCAACATCTTTGTACTGTTCCCAAAATGGCTAAAATGATCTCAGATAATTTTTGAGCATTTTTAAATAATTCATTTAAGGATTACTGGCATTTGCGCATTAAAAGAAATATGTATTAGTGATAAAATAATCAGGGAAGAGTGCAAAAAAAGATCATGCATAATTTGGGCTGGAATAAATGACGTTTTGCTTAAGTGGGGTATGGATAACATATTTAAAGGTAAACCTCAGGCTAAGACTGAGTCGGGCCAAATGATCCTTCGGCTGGATCACGTACAATTCTAAAACCATCACCCATGCACACCTCTATGAAGCCAACAAACTTAACAAACTCAGATACTGTTGAATAATGTCCAAAATGTGATCTTTCAATAGTTCCATCAGATACATACATGGAAGAATATATTAACTACTCACATTCAAATTCTGAGAAAAAATACAAAAATTTTCCTTTGCTCATGTTAAATATTGCAAGAGCCAGAGTAGCAGAAAATTTCCCCACCACCATTAACATGTAAGACACAGATATCATTATCACCTTTTATTTTGCAAGTGTTATGAACCACATGTATGCTATACCTGCAGATGTCGTACAGGGTCAGCTACAACAGTCTTGTTACATGCTACACTGGCAGATAACAGAGGTAGAGTTGTCGGAAAAGGAAGTGGCGACAACAGCTGCTGCTGTGTCTTCTCCTGCTGCAGCTCTTGAAGAAGAAGCACAAGCTCCATGCGCACTGATGCCAGCCCACCACCACTGGCTCCATGCAAGCTACAGTAGCTCAGTAGAGTTCGCAGTAAAGTCTCGTTTGCTGCATTCAAATACACATAACATTAATGCAATAAATATTTAAGTGGTTTCTCAATAAAGTAAAAGCCCTGAAAATAAGAAATCATGAATCTGCATTTATTTATATGAATGAAAACTATCAGTGAATAACATGGGATAATTCACAAAAGAAAATGAAATAACATAAATCTTATTTTCTTCAATTTCTCAAAAACACCAACTAAAAACTTATGTGAATTACCTTAAGCACACTGACATAACACATACATTATTCATAAACAATTTCTTTGTGTGACAAAGACAGAGTTTATAAATGAAATTAAAGTAGAGATGAAAATGACTGCTTTCTGGGTTATTACGCCATGTAGTTGGGTAGCAGTTCACCAGCATTTCAAAAGTGCTTGCTGCCTCCATCACCAGGACAATAAATATGCCATACACAAGGAATTGGTCTGAGATATGAGAATCAGTCTCACGAAAGTACACATAATCAGCTTTTTACAGGTTTCAGAAACATCTCTCTCAGTTTCAGTTGCCTTTATTGATTTTTGTCTTTACAATTAAAACATGCAGTTACCAAGATCTAGCATAAATAAAACAAAGTGGAACTAAGTGGAAAAAATCAATGAATTGTATATTCTTAATTAAGCACACGTAAACTTAATATCACAAAGTATACCAATAAAATATGATAACCATTCAATACCCATTGGTAACTATATGTACCACCTGCATCAACAATAAACAATACTGAATTCTGCCCACAACATGTATTTATGGGTTTCATATCATTCTCAGAGCAACCAGTGATTATTTTCTTAAACAGAATTAAACAACTGATTTTTGTAATGGAAACAAGTTGTTTTCTTTGAGGCAGGGACTGAATATTTAAACATTATTAACATGATGCATTCTTTCCTTAAATTGTTTCTATCTGAACAGACAGGAGAAAATACACAATTATATGGTGTATGAAAAATGGTTATGTAAACAGTACGTTAATATTACAATTCCAACATAAAAGTATCAAACATGCATCAAAAGTCAATACAATTGTTTATTAACTACTCATGCAGTGTTAGCTTCTTTTTAGGGCAAAATAAAATGTTTCTGTCCCAACATGAATTAAAATAAATATGTAAGATAAAATGCCACTGAAACCCCTATGTTTGATTGTAATGAAAAGATAAATTAAACATGTACTGAAAGTACTTACATCATTAACTATTGCCACTCCAATTAAAAACAGGGTACCAGTTTTTGAAGTAAAATGATGTAAAAAGATTTTTCTACTGCAGAGTAATTTTCATCAAGGGGAATACCTACAAGTCTACAAAGCATGTGGCATTATAACCCAGAAGACCAATATAAAAAACAACAACACAGAACTGCATGGTAATACAGTACAATTGATATGATGGTGATATATGTACAATGTTAAAGACTTAAACATTCATACTACTCAACACATCTGTTGTATCCTGTTGGAAATACATAAATAACATATAAAGACATGCTGTTATAAACAGTCTCACTTGGAAGTTTGGGTTATATATCCATATATGGACAGAGTCCAATGTAACCCATAACATCCCAAAACATTTGGTGATTTCACACATACAACATTCCACAAAGGGTCTGCCATATATCAGAGGGCGATATGGAAGGTAATTTCAAGTAAAAAAACTTTAACACAACATCAGTTCTGCTTCCACTGCAGAGCTATAGTGGTTTCAATGCATGCATAGGGATGAACAAATGAGAGTATTATTCACATGAATTTATTACTACATTTTATGACATATATCTTATAGCTGTGCAGCAGCATTTATAATCTCATACATGAGTTCCTCTCTTGTGTGTATTTTGGTCATGTAAGTTCACTCTTTCATTAGATGGCAAAAAAGAAATCAAACAGGGTTAGGTCCAAACACAAAGTGCCCAAGGTATCAGATCACAACCAGTCTAACAATTTTCATAATGCTGATTCAAGCAAGCCATAATCATGTCCTCCTTTAAAAGTGGCAATTCATTCATCAGGAATTGAGCTGTGTTGCCATCTATACAAATACACACAAATAGATACTTGTTATTTGTATACCTTAGAATGTCCATAGCTCAACAAAGGTTGGAAACAAGTCCAGTGATGTATTAACATTTTTTTCTCAAAATACCTCTGGAATCACCCCTGATATATGGAAGACAAACTGTGAAACACCCTGTAGAAATCACCAAAAGCATGAATTATGACAAGCACAACTGTAGCCTATTCAAGTTGTAAAACATTTTGTAAAAATTAAATTAAATGAATCACAAACTACGGTACCTTATAAAATACGTACAATGCGTTGCATACAACAAACCTTTCAGCCATTTCTTTCGTTTTGCTGCTCGTTGGACCTTAGCCTCAAAGTCCATCTTCTCAGCCATAAGTATCTCATGAAGTGTTGGTTTCTCTCCTGGCCGCATCATCATGGTAGGTGTTGCATTGTGGTCACGCAAGTCTTGTGTTGTATCCAATATGCCTTCATCTACAGTACACACATAACATGCGAACAACATACAGCCCAGTTAGTATGCATTACAACATGTATCTCTAATATGAGAAGCCAATATACAGCACACCAGACCACAATATTTACTTAAATACCATAAAAACAGCCACTGAAAGTGCAGAAGTGAAGTTACTTTTCAGAGGTACCCTACAAGGAAATTTCCTTTCACATTTTCAATCAATCAATCAATAAAAAAGAAAGAATGAAAGTCTTCAATAATTTACAAACTTCTTAAAAGCTCAACATGAAGCTTTCTTCTTGGTTACAGTTTTCTTAGTTTATAGTTCATATAAAAATTTGGTATTTTATAGGGATATATGAACTGCTTCTTTTTTGACCATTCACAAATATTTGGGGCTTGGTATGCATTTAAAGTTTGATGAAATGTGCATATTTTTGTCACTGGCCACCTGGGAACATGAACACATTTCAATCCGCTATTAAACAGAAACAGATCTTATCTAAGCATGAAGATAAATCATAACAGTATCTACTATAAAAATTTGTGATTCGTCGTCGTCAAAAAAAAAAGACATAATCAACAATGTAACCTTATACTCGGCATTGTTGTGGAACACAACAATGCCGAGTAAACAAATATAACGCTTCACAACAACCACCAAGCTATTCGCATTATCACTGCTCCAGTAGCAGCACATCGCCTCCAAACAGCGACATAAAACTATATTTAAGAAATGTAGAAAAGTGAAAGAAGACGTTACCAACACCGACAAGGTAATCTGATACTAATAATAATATTCATTCAAGTCATACTGATCATTCAGGGGTTAAAACACTTGAATAAGACACTAAACTAAGTGTTTTAACCCCCATTTGGG